CTCCCCTCGTCTTCCATTCCTAGGATCCGATTAATTCCTACCATCGGCCGATAATTTATGGCTGGCCATGCGTTACGCTCTCCACCTTCCTCCCTGCTCGTTTCACGGCAAAACCTCTTCGTATCTGTCACACCTTCCTCTAATTGCCGTGAACACGCGAGAATCTAAGGCAGCGAGCGGCGGCTTCTCTACCTTCTCTTCATTCCGTGGCTCCCCGTTTCGAGGAATCAGATCCTCGAGGAAAACTAGCTCGCCGACTTCTCCGTTCTTGCCGTGAATGATCGGAATTCACGCTGGAAAAATATTTTTTGCCGGATGGGAAAAACGACGACGACTCGGATGACAAAGTGATCGATCGAAGCGCGATTAATTTCATAATTATGTCATTTACTAGTAGTTTTTTATTTATTTGGCAAAATTATAGGTTATTGGCCGTCTATGTGAAAGCGATCTTATAGTTTAACATTATTCGATTAAAAATTTAACTATTTATTGTTTATTTTTATATTAATATTATTTTTCATTTCCAGAAACATTTCCATGAAACAAAAATCTTTAAAAATTTTATCTATTTTTTCCAGGAATATCTATTGTACAGGAATATTTATTGCATTTTTCCAGGAATGGTACTGGATTGTTGATCATTTTGCAGAGCTACAAAAAAAAAACTGTGAGTATAAATATTTTTTTAGAATTTAGATCGATATTTTTAAATTATAGATTTAAACATTTGCAACATTTTATTTGGTGAAAGGAAATACTACTTATAAATGATAATTTTAACAAACACTTTTTATCTTTATAAACAATATTTCGTAAAATCAAAATCTATAATAATATATTAAAAAGTCTCAACTTTGATACATTTATTGTTTCTTATCCGAACCAGGAAATTCAATTTTGCCAGTTCTATTAATATTACGGATCGAAGTATATGGTTCCTTCGAAATATATTACACGATGTCCCAGGAGAAAGAGGATGCTTTTGTTTCGAGAGCTATGTGAGTCGATATCAAGGGACAACCTCAATCATTGTTATACTCGGTATATATATATGCCATCGGTAACAAGTTTCATCTGCTAAAACTTGTGCGGAAAATATATAGAAGGAATCGATCGATTGTTCGATATTTCGAAATAAGCTCCTGTAATATCCTCGTTTCGAAACCCAAGATAAATACAATGAAAAATGACTAAGCACCATAAAGAATGAAATTACTTCAACATTTTGCACAAATGAAATTCAAAAAAAAAAAAAAATTATTTTAACTTAACCTTAAAATAAAATACTAATTGAAACAAATATTTTAAATTTTAAGCTTCCTTCATATTCACAAAATCTGATTTTATATGATTTTTTATCAATCAAAAATATCTAGGCAAGTTTTAATCCAATATTCCTATATTTTTATACTTAAATATACTTTTTTAAATAATTTTTATTTTTTCAGATAAAAATACCTATAAATTTATTATGATTTAAAATTCACTTTAAATTGTAATCAACTATTATTATAAAATTTACCAATATTTTCACGCAAGAATAAAAGTAAGTATCCTAATTTTCACTGCGCAAAAATAAAAGTTGAAAAAGTGACAAATGTTTAAACATATCCTTATATATATAACTTTCCACAGCTATTGACTCGCCTATCGTTCGATCGGCACAGAAAGAAGACAGGAAGGCAGACACGAAAGGCAGGCAGGCCAAAGGAGCAAAGGTGGGATTAGCATAACGCGCGGACTGGCGTTCAGCTTGATTGTGGTTAGTTAATGGTCGCCGAGTAGTCATTATTCTCGACTGGCAATACGCCGTCTCTACCTTGTGCGTGCAATCTAGCGGCATGATCCGCGTATATAAATTATTATTGTCCGGCCAACGAGGTGTATCGATGGGCGGTCGCACCGCTGTCGCTTGTCGACGCCCATGCTCGCAGTTCGCGAGATCGCAGGCCACGCTTAAACGCCTTTTCCGCCTTTTGCGCGTTTCCGCCGCATTTCCGTTTAAGTAAGAAAGAGTTGGCCACTAATGGGTTAAAAAATTAATTAAGATAAAATTTTGTATAAAATTACTTAAGTTAGTAATATTTATTCGTAATAGCTGGACGAGAGTGGACCTCGTTTAAATTAAAAAAGTAAAAGATATATCTTTACGAAGAAACAAAAAGAAATATTTCTTTTCTTTATTTTTAAAAATATATTATTTATTTATTTACATATAATTCATTATCTATGATATATATAATATATTTTTATTGCCTTAGTTTTTGTAATCCGTATTCGTGAGAAATCAATGAAAAATCTCTCTAAAATTTATTATACAGTCCAGACTTGATCTAGAAATTTTCCTGTTTTTGAAATTAAATGAAAAGTAAACATTTCAGTGAAAAAATGGTGAAAGATTTTTTTTGTGAATGGGTAATTAAACAGTGGAGGTGAAAAAGAAAGTAATTTTAAAAATAAAGAATAAAGATTTCTTTTTATTGTTGTTTCATAAAGATATATCATTTTTTTTAAGCAAAATCTTTGTTTGTAACTCGGTCATCGCTATTTATTTATTCGATGCTTAAATAATAAATTATTCAAGTAATTTATTGAAGTAATTGTTATTGTCAAGTAAGTTAAATAAGTTAAGTTAAGCAAGTAATTAAGTCAAGTAAGTTATTGAAGTAACATTATTCTTTTTAACTTCAACTGTTAAAATTTTGCTTATCTTTGCTTGTTAAAGAGTCCACACCTAACTTTTATTAGCGGTTGAATTTGGTTGATAAGCGTGATCGATAACGCTTTGCACGTAGTAACGATTACTGAAGATGGTGATCAAAGTTGAATTTGCCTCAAGAATCAAGATCGCTTTGATTATGTCTCTCTACTGAATACAATGAGGAATTGATTGTCTCTTTTTTTTGTGTGCTGTTCTATAATTTAGTGAAATTAAATAATCAGGCATGTCATATATTTATACATAAATCATAGAATTCTTGACAATATATTTTAGGATAGTAACGTGATATAGATTGCGTTTGAATCATTTTAATATTAACAATAACAATTGTATGTAATATTATTTAAAAACACAAATATGATAATTGTTATCAAGATGGAAAAATATACTCCAATGCATAAAATATTAAAATGAATCTACTTTAACAATAACAATTGTATATAAACAATTGTACAATATTATTGAAAAATATTATTGAGAAATATTATAGATAATCTAATACAGAAAATAATTAATTAATTTTATTAATTAAATTAAAATTAAAATTAATCTGCTTTAACAATA